TTTTTTTTTTTTTTTTTTTTTTTTTTTTTTTTGGAGGAACCGTAGACAAACAGGAGGAGAAAAGGACTGGAAAAAATCGAAAAAACGAACAGATTATTTAGATGGAAAAAAAAGAAACACACAGTAAGGGTAAACGAGTCGAAATTTTCGAGTCGTTATTCATTGAAGACACATGACAGATATTCAGTTTTACCGCAAAGTTCCTGCACGCAGACATGACAAATACTCAGTTTTACCGCTAAATCGAAAATGAGTGCATTTTGCAAATTTCACAATCCTATTCCAACTTCCAAATGTTGCAACGAGCATTTATTGAAAAAACCAGAGTTTGTTAAAAAAAATAATGTTGTGAAGCTGTTCGTTGCAGATGATGCAATTCGCGAGCAACTCAAGGCTCTGTCAGCAGCGCGTCGTGAGTTCCATCACGCTGGCGTTCCTCTTCTGGAAAAGGCGGCGATTGCCGAAGCAGCAAAACTCTACAATAGCTACAATCGAATTACGGAACGGGACGAATGCGCCACGTTATTCTGTGAAATTCAAGCAAGATTCCCAGGACAGATTAGCTGGTCTATTCTCTGATCTCCAGGCTGTTTTATGATCTCTGTGAAAGTTGCGCAGGCCTGATCAACTGTTGTTTTCAGTGTTGTTTTCGAATGTTGTTACTTGTATTCAGTTCACTTGTTAAAGATGGTTTTTCTGAGTTAACTTGCAGTACACCGCAACGTTTTATTTTGAAAGAAGCGCGAACTTTTTTTGGATGCATTGCTACGGGATAATTTGGAGCCTTTCTTATGATCAAGATGGAAAGATGTGCAGAGACGAATAAAACAGTTTATTTATTTAGTATATTTAGGTCTAGTAATATAGCAACAATTCAATTACCCGATTGGACAGGAGAAGGAACAGACGATTCGTTCAAGACTGGGCATGACCGGAAACGGAGTATGCAATCGTTGGGAGGCAGCAGAGGAGCGGTCGAGACTTTGTGGTGAAGGAGGCCGGTGGCCGAGACGACGTTAAGTAGAGGCAGCAGAGGGGCGGTCGAGCAGTAGAATATGAAGTACAAGAATAGAGGCAAGATACAGGGCTCTTATAGGGTGCAGGAAACACTTTATCGTCTTTCGGCGATCAGGTGTCAGGAATGTAAAAGGTATTAAAAGTATCATGAAAAAAAAAAAAACGGGACTTTGGAAACATCGTCAGTTTTACAGTTGACGATAAAATAGACAATATTTTACATTAAAAAATCCATAAAGTACATCTGATATAAAAAACACACATTGTATGATTCATACAAACAACAGAAATAATTGGCCAACGCACGGGGTACCCATGCGAAGATGCGTTTTTTGCACAGCTCCCTGCCCATTTTTGTCGCTAACGGCACTTGTTATACGTTTTTGCATAATATGCAAAAACACATATTGTGACGACCCCGGTGTGTGTGCCTGTCCGGGTATTTCAACTCGGCACCAAGCAAGCTCCGGCACCAAAGTCTTGGGAGTGGGTCCCTGGCCAAGTGCCACCCCAGGACCGCGGTACCGACTCTCAAGCATGCCTAAGTCCCGCGTTCGAGCGCCTCAAAGTTGTGGCGGGAAAATCAGTAACTCGAGAACCAGAAAAGCTAGAGAGCTGAAATTTTGGGATTATATTCCCAGTCTAAGTAGAACTCAAAGGTTTCAAACTCAGCCCCCAGGTGTGCGCGTTTCCCGCATTCGGCCCCTCAGGGGTTCCTGGCGCGAAAACCGCTAGCTCGGGAACCCAGAAAGCTGGAGGGCTCAAACTTTCAGGAAATGTTCCCAACTCATCTACAACTTAAATTTATCAAACCCAGCCCCCCGTTATGCGTGGTTGCCACGTACGGTCCCGTGAAAATTTTTGGCGGGAAATGGCTAACTCCAGAACCAGGAAAGCTGGGAGGCCAAAGTTTCAGGAAATGTTTCCAACTCATCTACAACTTGAATTTATCGAATTCAGCCCCCCATTACGCCTGGTTGCACGTACAGCTCCGTGAAATTTTCTGGCTGGAATTTGGGTAACTCGGGAACTGGGAAAGCTAGGAACCTGGCACTTCGAGAGAATGGTCCCTGTCCAAGTATAGCGTGGATAATTAACTTCCCGAAATTCGAGGACCAGTATGTACAAGAGGTTTCTAGCCAGCGGAATTTCGAGTGATCTTAT